TCTTCTAGTAAAGTTTTTATGGTAAACACCTGCTTTTCACGTCTTCTTAATTCTTTTCATCTTTTTTATAAAATTATTCTTTTAGAATGTAATGTTTTTTATTAAAAAACCAAAAATAATATTTAAGATTGCTGTTAAATTTGAGAAAATACATGCAAAAGAAAAGAATCGAAGTGCTAAAATGCAATTGGACGTAGCCTTTATCTACTTTTCGCCCAAATATTCACGTTTTAGGGTGAAGCGGAAGGCAAAAATTGCGTTTTTCTTCATTTCTCAATTGGAAACCTCGTTTTTCATATAGGAAATAGTTGTAGAGAAGACTAAAACGCATCGAGTAATATATATGTCGTAGCCGATTATGAATGAAATTTTTTGGCAAATCTTTCTAGTAGAGCAACCCTTTAATGTATGAGGACAATATTATATCATCTTGTAGCGAATTGAATTCTGCGTCGATTGGTACCAAATTTGTGAGTTTAGGTTAAAAATTGCCGGCGCTACAACGTTTCATTCAAAATCGGCGGGACCCCCGTAGCCGATTACGAATTTCAGCCGATTATGAATTAGTGGGTCTAGGAGCGTCCAACCATCAAGTATTTGGTATCATTCAACGCAGAATCATTAATAATTATGTTAAATTTTTTAAATTAGAAAGATTTGATAAAAAGAAAAAAATTAGAGCAAAAAAACCGTTTGTTCAAGAGGAAACTTTGAGGCCCCATAATTTTTTTTCTTTTTATCCAATCTTTCTAATTTAAAAAATTTAACATAATTATTAATGATTCTGCGTTGAATGATACCAAATACTTGATGGTTGGACGCTCCTAGACCCACTCATTCATAATCGGTTACGACATATAAATGACCGCGATTCTTGAAAGACAACTTTTAGACCGGAGTACACCTTTAAAGCGATCGTTTTGAATGTTTGATGTTATTTGGGTTGAATGAGTGGATGAAATCGAGATTTCCAAGTCAATTCCCGAGACCCAATTGAATTCCAATCGAGGGGAGCACTTAAGGAAATCAGAAAATCGGTGTCGCAAATCTCTGAGGCGATTTTACGACAAAGCTAAACACGAATTTCACTTCAACGAGAAAATTGTGTACAAATTTTTCTTTATAAAACTAGAATCAACTTTAGAATCAAGTTCTACGGTTTTCAAAAAGCTATAGCTCTAATAGATGGATGATTATTGAGCAATTGAGACAGAAAACATTGCTCGATTCATTCAGTTTATTCAAGGCTATCTTTTTGAATGTTTCTCGGCGACAAATTCCAAATAAACATCTTTTAAAGTGATTAAAAACCATCAGAACTAAGCTTTTTTTAATGAAAAGCTCTTTTAAATTGATATTTCTTGAGAAATTCTTTGTATTTCCGTTTGAATTTGGATTTAAATCGATGCAAACCTTCGATTCAGATTAACTTTCGTAAATTTTATTTGAATCCTTAGAATTAAATCCTTAAATCCTTAAATTCCTTAAATTAAATCCTTAAATTTATTAGAATTTAAGTTTTTAACCAAACTTTTGTCATTTTCTGTGATTTTTACAGCATCTAGACCAACTGGAAAACAAAAAAAGTAGAAAAAGTAAAAATTGAATCGTTTCAAGCGCTTTCTCATCCCAAAATACGCAAAAAATCTTGAAAAAAATCAGGTATAAGTGCTCATTAATGCTATTCTACTCTCTTCTTACGTAGAATCTTTTATAGATTCATAAAAGATTCATAAAAGCTAAGAAACACTGAAGATAACAGTAAAGACATGTTATTGTTTGTTTTTTTTCGATCTATTAGGTTATTCGGATATAAACGAGCGTTTGCACTGCTTAACTCGTGAGGAAGCCATTTCCCGCATCTGATGCGCATCCGCATCTAATCGTCTTTCCAATGGCGTGGAGATGGCCTTTTTCCTATGAATGCCCGGTTTCATGGTCGGATTTGGCCGTTCTCCTGGTCCTAGTCATTTCTGTTTTCGAATAGTATTATCGAAATGGATCCACTTCTCATCTCCAGTAACGAGAGAATCAAAAAAAGCCATGATATTTAGCGTGGTGGATGAGGAGTCCGGCAATAGCGACCCGTGAAGCCTTGTTTGCACTGCTTAACTCGTGAGGAAGCCATTTCCCGTCTTTCCAATGGCGCGGAGATGCTCATTAATGGTAGAATTTGAACATAGAAACTGTTGAGCAAGTTCACGCGTCGTTTGACATGGATCCGATTCGATTGCAGCCCTCAAAATATCGTTGTCTACCGCTTGAGGTCGAAGAGAGTGTTCATGATCCTCGAGACTTTCATCACCATTCCGAAAGCGTTGGAACCAGGTTCGGCATCGGCCTTTGAACTTTCGGCTTTCGAAAATCATTCCCAAATGCTTTGACCAAATCTCGATGGGATTCCGCGATTCCTATTTGGTTCCTATTTGATTCCTTTGCCCAATTTGAAGTCGTAAAGTAGGCAGACGCGAACTTGAAGTCGGTCATCTAAAGTCATCTAAATTTTTGAAGTCGGTCATCTAAAGCAAGAAAAAAAGATCTTAAAAATAAGAAATTATCCGTTTAAAAAGATTCCAAATATACACAAGATAACGTACTTTTAAATACAGAAAGACATATTTTAAAAAGTTTCTCTCACAACAATAAGTTTAGTTTATATACGCTTGTTTATATCCGAAAAACCTAATAAATCAGACGTCTGCGGTGATTTCAATTCAAAATAAACACAAGATATGCACTAGTTTGCAAATACTAAACATTTCGATGAGCATTGTGGGAAAATTGTTGAGAAAAAGGTCTTTCCTCCCTTTTCGCTAATCAGATTCCCCAAATTTGAACGAATGAATAGGAAATTTTTAGCGAAATTGAAAAGGGAAAATTTTCTGAGAAAAATGACTCAAAAAGACCTTGAAATTGTGGAATTTTGTTTTGTGGTCGGAAAAGAAAAATGGAAATAAGGAGAATAAAGAAATGAAATGATTTTGATTGTTTTGATTGACATTTGAGAAAATCATGGCATAAGTTATTGGGGAAATGGCAATAAGGAGTTGGTTTTAGTTTTGAAAGCAACTATAGCTTTTGAAAGCTATAGTTGCTTTTTTTTCAAATCGATGATTTCAAATGAACGAAAAAAATTGAAACGAATCGATTTTGTGGGGAGAATTCTCGATTCTCACTCTCACATCGACCTTCATCCATCAGCTCATTCAATGGGGAACGCAAAAAGAAGAGCAAAGAGAGAAGAGAAACATCGAATGTTTAGCCTTTCAATTGAATATTAAGTGATTGTAAATATTTGCGGGATGGATTTAGAGTGGAAGTTTGTTTATATTGAAAAAAAAAATCAGAAATCGAGAAAAGTATTCAATGAAAATGGCTAGGTTCATGTTTTTGGGAAATTTTATGATTTAAAACGTTTAAAAACGTTTAAAAAGAAGAAAACTTGGTTTAAAAAGAAGAAAAGTTGGTTTAAAAAGAAGAAAACTTGGTTTAAAACAAGAAAACTTGGTTTAAAACAAGAAAACTTGGTTTAAAAAGAAGAAAACTTGGTTTAAAAAGAAGAAAACTTGATTTAAAAGAAGAAAACTTGGTTTAAAAAGAAGAAAGCTTGGTTTAAAAACAAGAAAACTTGGTTTAAAACGTTTAAAAAGAAGAAATTTTATATTGAGATTGGTCAGATCAATCGGTTCATTTTATAAAAAAAAACTGGCTTTCGAAAAAGCTTTGTTTCTTTTTGTTTTCAACAATGTGAGCTCATTTTTTTTGGAATCGACACGATCAGTTTAGATAATAGGAAACAATTGGGCGTTTTGATAAACTTTGAAACGAATTGTCATTGTCGAATTGTTAATGCTTGAAAATTCTTTCAAACATTGCTCTAAAAACGAAAAAAACCCTTTCTAACACACTCAACTCTTCACTTTCACTTAGCAATCTGAAGCAAAGCTTTTTTTTAGCAAAGCTTTTTCTTAGCAAAGCTTACAAGGGAATGGTCTCAGCTCTTTTACAGTTCCTTTATAGTTCCTATTTAGTTCCTTTATGGTTCCTATTTAGTTCCTTTATAGTTCCTTTATGGTTCCTATTTAGTTCCTTTATAGTTCCTTTATGGTTCCTATTTAGTTCCTTTATAGTTCCTTTATAGTTCCTTTATAGTTCCTCAAAGTTGGGAATCGACTGGAAACACAGTGCATAACAGAGAATCGGCAATGGCGAACAAAACGCCGCAAAAATTAGCTGCTAATACCGACGGAAATGCGAGGAATCTGGCATGCAAAAACGGGACTCAAAACTGATTCCTTTATAAGGCAGTCTCTCGCCGCGGGCTAGGGATAAGCTCGTGGCCTAGTGGATAAAGGTTTCACAAACGGCGTTCCTATTTTTGCCCTCGGGTTTAATTCTGCCCACATGCAAATTTTTTTTGCGATTCTTGGAACTATTTCGTTTTTAAAGCAAACTAAATTTTAATAAAATAAAATAAATGTGACATTTTTGCCTATGGGACGCTCTGCGATACAAGTACCCTTATATCAATTCCTGGACGCAACTGGTTTTCAACTGGGTAACTACAATAATTTTCATATATTAGGTTGGCAAAAAAGAAATGCGCGTTTTCGTTAAAAGTTTATTTTATTATAAAAACAAGATAACAATACATTAATCCAAAAGGTATTCGCCATCTGCATCAATGACTTGTCGCCAACGTTCACGCAGAGAATGGATGCCCTTCTTGAAGAACTCGACCGGCTGCGACTCGAAGAAGTTGGACACCGAAATTTGGACCTCGTCACGGTTCTTGAACTTTTTCTCGGCCAAGAAGTGGTGCATTGATCGGAACAGATGGTAGTCGGAAGGCGCCAAGTCTTGCGGGCCTCAAGCATTGATCGATGCACAGGCTCGAAATCTGATTGCGGTAAGTGTCGTTTAAGTTTTTTCTTTTACATTTGTTTTGCCTTCAGACGCATTCATTGGGAAATCCATGTCGAACTCCTTTTGCATTCCAGATGCATAACCAATTCAACCAGGATTTCAACATTATGGTTTGGATTTCTTATTTTTGTTTTAATATTTTTTTTGTTTAGATGTCGCCTCCAGCAGGACCTTATGATCAACACGCCGCCCCTGTACTCGTTGAATCGGAACTTGCCCCCCGATGGAAGATGTGGTGGAGGTTGGACGAGACTATGGGAGTGACGGAGTACAACGACTACACTTGGCTCACTGAAATTCGTGTGCCAGAGCATCGGAAGATTCACTTTATAATCAGCTTCGGAAACCCTGATGGTGAGATTTCTAAATTTACTTTTAATTCTATTCGAAAACTATAAAAATTAAATGAGATTTCATTGTTCTTATTTAGCTCCAGTTGGCACATATCAACTACAAATTAAAGCTCATTTGGACGCCATCCCAGGTCAACCCATGGTCTGTTTTATTTCTAAGTCTGTTAACTAAATAGAATTTGTTGAGTGGATTCAAGTTTTTTTTTAGCCCATGGTCTACGACTATCGTCTCAGTTTCGATTTGCCTCAGCAAGCGGACGTCACTGATTCCGAATGATGAATTGGCAGACCAACATCAGACCCCAAAAGGCTTAAAAATTTTTTTGTATTTGCAATAAAGGTGGTGGAGGCTTTTAATAATTGTATCTTTAATCACAACAAAATTATATATAGAAGTTTCAAGTTTATACGGATACAAATCACAAAATTTGCTTTAATTTGTGCAACATATTGGCAGTCGTTGATCATCTTGATTGATTTTGATCTTGTCTTGACTAAACCTAATACAAAAAACTTTGGAAACTTTTCGACAAATGCTGTAAAGAGAAAAAGGAATTTTATTGTATTAGATTTAAGATGTAGCTAATTAACTTTTAACTTTAACTAGTCTAAACTAGTTAATGTAATGTTAATGTGAAACTAAAAAAGAGACACTAAAAAGTAAAATGGTGAATTTGCTAACAAAGACGAGTTTCTGGAGGCTCTGAAGGCTTCGGCGTTCAGTACTAAATGATTCAGTACTAAAGGGTTCAGTACATCCTAAGATGCCCATTCTTAAGATGCTCCATTCATTCTAGGAGGCCCTAGGTTCAGTACTGAACGCTGAAGCCTTCAGAGCCTCCAGAAACTCGTCTTTATTAGTAGACTTTATTAGGAGTTTATTTTGTAGTCTTACCGATAAAAATATAGAGAAAATCAGAACAGCAGAAGCTGAGCGAGAACGAGAACGGATGCCGCGAATATCGTCATCCTTTTCATCATGACTGTTGACCTGAAAAAAAAGCAAGTAAATAGCCGAAAAACCACAAATTAAAAACACCATCAATATTACTTTGTTGGAGGACTCGGGATCGTCGACATGGAGTTAGAGACCATTTAAGTGGATCAACTCTTTCTGGTAGTTCAACTTTGACAAATACAGACTACCTACCTTTTAGGTTTTCAGACTACCTACCATCTTTCAATCTTTCAAATTGCGTTACGAATCTCGGAGTTTGGAGTTTGATTTAGCTCAGGTCGAGTCGCACAATTTGTTTATTCTTTGGCAGATGTTATACTTACTGAATTTATGGTATTATTTGAAGTCAATTACTTTGGTGTGCTGTATTTGATGCAATGGTTCGATATTTGGAACAATTAACAATTAAAAATCTATTCACATTTGGACAACATTTAAACAACATTTAAAACACATTTCCATTTATAAGAACAAGAAGCATCATTTCGTTTAATTCCAAGACGAAATGTGCCTTTTCTAGATAAGGAGCCAATGTTTCCTGTCTGCCATGGATATTTAATTTGTCCGAAACGGTAGGATTTCATAAAGCATTTCAAATCTCCAATTCTAAAAAATTGAAATGGATTTTGACAAACTAATAAACCACATACTGTAAAGGACCATGCATAATCGGGTCGTAACGTTGCCATCTCCGTCTTTCATCAAAACCAGGTTTCGTTGGAAATCTCTAGCAGATCGTAAAGTTGAATTTTCCCAATTCGAAATTTTTCATTCATTTGAGCGCCGCTTACCTATTTTTTCTCGGCGACCGATTTTGGAAGATTGAGAAATAGAAACACATGTGCTTCTATTGATAAATGAGTCATGAATAAATAAAGTATTTGATCTTTAAACACTTAGGTGATATGTTCAGGTGCCCTCACGGCGCTGACGATGCAACGGATACACGAGGGCACGAAAAGAGACGCCGAGGTTTGAATCAATGAGAAGCAATGGGTTTTCCTTTTCAAAATACAATGTGTCAAAAATAGCCAACGGTCGCGCAAAACGACAATTCAATTTCCCCCTCAAAAACAACATTTGTCTATGTAAAGCTTTATTTGCAACAGCAAGATCAATAATTGAAAAGTTTAGATTAAGAAAAAAGTTAACAAAACGGAACAACAGAGATTTCAACAATTGTCAGGTGGCACATAAAAAGCGAAAAAGTGAGTATACGGCGAGTTCGACGTGCAAATGTACACGCAATCCCTGACCGATTCGATATTCTGTCGGAAACAGGAACTTTCCGCATCAATTGGCGACTATCCATGGCTTAAACGATCGTTTCCGAGGCGCATGAGTTTTTCCCGCATTTCCCCATCAATTCTTCGCATTCCCGGATATTTCGTCAGAAAATCGACAACTTGGGCATTCATTGCCGGTGCTCGACCTCCGTCAACACGAAAAGACGCCTCGAGGTTTATGACTTGCGATCCCATGTTTGACAATCGATGAAACGATCGGCGGAAAGACATTCGTCGCCGTCGACATCTAAAGAAAAACGTTATTGGTATAAAATGAGAATATTCAATGCTTAATATTCTCAAGCCTTTCCCAAAAAAAGGCTTAGGAAAACTGGTAAAATCCAGGCGAAAATTAGGTCCTTGAAAGTGAAATTGTCTAATACACTTAATATTGCCAATCTACTTAACCAAATCCGTCTAAAATTGATAACAAAATGATCGAATTCACTTGAATTTCCCAATGCGCTCAACCCTACTCATCACTATTAGCTGAATATTTCAAATCAAGGAATAATTATGCACAACAAAACGATTTCCTGTCAAAAGGGCAGCAGAGCTACATCATCTAGAAGTCCAAACGCTAAGGATTAGCGTAAATGAACAAATTTACACTCAAATGGCAGAGTTGGCTGATGCTAACTAAAAAAATCACGACTTTTCAGTGTTTTAGTACAATTTTAACGGATTTTCAATGATATTCAGCTAATAATGATGCAGAACGTTAGAAATTAACTTTAAAATTAAGATACCAAAGCCGTACCTGCACGAATCTCACGCGCATCTTCTCCAAAGCGTCGTCGTAGAAGTGGAACGAGGCATCGATACAAAAATCCAAGTCGATTCGATGGCAATCGTTGAGCTTCGTTTCAATGAATTCTTGGAATCGTTCCTTAATCACTTGATCATCTCGAAAAGCCAACGATTGCACACTCAACACAGCGTGTTCTTTGATGGAAACCCGGAAACTCTCAACAAATACGGCCAAATCGTCGCTATCATCCAGGAAAAGCCATAAACGGTTCACGGATGTGAAATGATTGAGGAATTCGGTGTGCTGTTCAGTGAAAAGTTCCTCTCCCGCATCAATCGTCAAATTATCGCATGAATTGATGGCCTTGATGAGCGGAAAGTCGCGAACGAGATTAAGCGCGGCTCCGGAAACTTCTTGAGCCAAATCTTCCCGTCGTTCAAGCGAATCGTGTCCACGTGGTGGTCACAAACGAGAGACGGATTGCGTGAAAGCATCCATTGAAATCCCACATTCACTTTGACCAACTCGATCGTATCTTTCGCGTTCATCTCATTCAGCACTTCCAACTTCAGATCGTAACAGAGCTGCTCCATCGGAAACGATGTCAGATTCCTCATTTCATACCGCATCTCGAGCGACATTCTTGCACCTGTAAAAGAGAACAATTGGTTCTTGTCGGAAAATGAAAGCGAAAGCACAAAAACCAATCAATTTTTGGTGACAATATGGTCATCTAATGTTCTTGGGGTCAAACGTCAAATTTGGCTTTTCATAACCTTTTGAAGTCAACAACTTGTCTAATTCCATAAAAATCTGAGCAATTAGAGATTTGCCTAGGGAAAATGTAAATAATAAGCAATACTTCTCCAACAAAGGTTAGAATTCCACAAAATTTGTCATAAATCAAAAACAATATGGTCCTCCAACCAAATCACCGCTCGAAAATACCTTAAGTTCCAAGTTTATTTTCACAAAATTAACAAGTAAACATTAAAAGCGTTACCAAATAACGTAAAACACCCGTAAACGCATTCACGCTCAAGAAAAAACTGAACAGGTTTTAATAAACTAGCAATACGTTCATAAAAATCCTGTAAAAAGAAATTTTTCCACAAAAAGGATCACATAAAAACGTGCAACTTATCAAATCTAGCTCGAAAATGGGGGTTTTAAATTCAAAATTGAAATCTGCGACCGACTTCATCCAATCGAATTGAGTCCACGAAGTTCAATCGAGTTTTGCCCATCACCACACCCGACCCAACTCGTCGAGCTCATCACTTCCTTCCTAAAGAAAAGAATTGAAGATATAGATTGAAAAGTTTAAAAGTAGGGTAAAATATTATATTTGCATTCAATATCACTATTTTTTTGGTATTTTTCCACATCTTTTTGGTATTTTTTCTAATGCTTAAATTTCGCGCAGTCGAGGAGGCCACTTATCGATGGATCAAAGAAAAGCGAGAGGAAAAGTTAAAAGTTTCTTGACGTATGGTTCAGGAAAAAGCCATGTTTTTTCGCGAATCGAACCCAGATTTCACAAAGTCTTTCTCTGCAAGCAATGAATGGCTTGCGAATTTTTTGAGACGGCAAAAAATGACAACAAGGAGTCCAACCACGAGGATGATCAGATTGTTTGTTTCCGCAAAGGGGAAGCTGTTGAGAGTGGTCGATTCACGCTGGATATTGCAAGATTCGTAAACTACAAGGCGACCTGTTCAATATGCAGGAGGATTTGTACCGTGATGTTGGAATGCTGCCTTTCCCATCTACGATTTCTAATTTGTTTAATGTCTCATTCCGTTTTCTCCACGATTCCGCATAGCCAAAACTCTTAAGTTGATACCTTTTCTTTTGATAATTTCGAGTTATTGCGAACTATTTTTGCGTTATTCAAACTCGTCCGCTCATCGCTTTTCTTTGTTACTTGTACGACTTCTTCTTTTCCTTTTATTTTCCCGGTGAGTGACAATGCCAACAATCTTTTTTTGTTACTTATACGACTTCTTTTCCTTTTATTTTCCCGGTGATTGACAATGCCAACATTGAAATGAGAAAAGAAATGAAGAAAAAAGAATGATTTGAGATGAAAAATGGCGAAGAGAGAAAGATGGTAAATTTCCTGGTGTTTTTGAGCTTTTTTGATTTTTTTCTTTGTTTTTATAGAGATTTTAGAAGATTTTCTATAAATTTTCTGATTTTTATCACTTTATTTTAATTTTCGATTTCTTTGGGCTTTTATTGGAGAATTTGAACTCCATAAAAGCCAGATTGAAAAGAAAATGAATAAAAATTTTGAAAGAAGCACAACTGAAATCGGCAAACAAGCAAAACCGAAATCAACCGGTTGCGTAATTGAACCGGAGACTTTAAAGGGATAAATGGCTCAAAAAAAGACGTACAAAGTGCACATTTGATAAGCTTGTGTAGACAAATGTGTATGTGCCATGTAGAAACAAATGATGTCGGTCGTGATGATAGGCCTAAAATGATTAAATAATGAAACTGCTTGATGCTGATGCATGAATGAAATCCCTGATGCAGTTTGGTTTGATTCAAAGGTTACCCTATGAAATTTCCTAATATTTGTCCAAAAAAACTCACAAACTTCTGCGTTTGGGCTGATATCGCGAGGAGTGGTGGGCCATAGTGGGGTAGATTGCCCGGCGTCTCGTTGCTGAACTCACATTGTACTAGAATCGGTGGCGTCCGCAGCACCATCTCTGGAAAAAAGAATAAGCAAAAAACACAATGATCACTCATTGCTGATCATCTTTGTCACATCTTCATCACATGATGCTACAATTGTGTTGCCACTCGGTCATATTAGATGATGTTCGCGGGATGCCAGATCTCTTCAATAATGAAACTGCTTCATGCTAAACAAAATGAAGTTAACGTGTTGCACATTTCGTTTTAAACCGCAAGCGCAAGGTTGCAGGCTGAAATTTGTTAATCTTAATTTAAAAAAAATTGATATCTACTGCCCTAATCGATATTCCGAACAAGTACATTCCACATCGATTACACTCTAATGTTTATTTTCTTTTCTTTAAATCAAAAATTCGAACACTTCAACCAAGCCATTTCAGGCAGGGGGATCTAAAGTTAAAAAGTTCAAGTTATTTTAGTTAAATCTTACCTGATCAAACGATTATATTGGGAATGAATGCTCGGCATCCTGTGAACCTGGAACCCGACAAAGGAACAAGAAAAACCGTTTTCGACCTCACAGGTTTTGATTCGATACAAGTTACACAAACCCACATAATACACGGAGGCACACGGCACAGAAGATCCGCTTCCACAACAAGTCTTCAAAGAATTCTCAAACACATAAAAAGTTCTCATTGAAGTTTTGGATCCTTTTGCGATGCTGTCGCTGGGGTAGTAAGAACAGTAAACGACGCATTTCAAAGAACTATTTCTCAAAAGTTTAACAAATTCAAAGCCTCTTGCCAATAACAACGACAGAACATGAGAAAGATATGACAATGAGAATAAGCAATGAGTGATTATTTCATTCGTGCGAGTTGTAGACATCACCAACGTAACATGAATTGGACATTATGTAGATTCATACCCTGACCTATTCGATCCGTGTAGCGGAAATATTAAAGTTTCCACAATAAAATAATCAAAAAAGATATCGTCATGTCTTTAACACAACAAATCATCGTTCAAAAAGAGAAAAATTGTGCAACTTTATTTCTTAGAGAACTAAAAATCGGCAAAATTACACAATAAAAGCACTAAAACTGTAAAAGACTCGATAAAAACCCTCAAAACATGATCATTTCCTATCGTGGTTCCATGTAGAAGGCGAAAAATTGACTGAATTGGCCGCGCCGGGGAAGCATGTAGACACAATCTCTGCTCGAGTCAATGTTTCGTCGAAAAAATGGACGGGCCAACAACTCGTCGACGCCGCTGAAATACTTGTTCACGAGTTCGGTCGCCCTTTTGATGACTTCTGGGTGATTTTCTAGGTCCCATCGCTTCATTCCACAGAATCGCGAAAGAAAATCGACGACTCGGGCCTCCCTCTCCTGAGAAACATCGGTTCCCAGATAATCCCGGTGATACACATAAAAAGCCGCCTTCGAATTCTTACTTGGGATCCCCTTTTCAACGATTGATTGCACGATCTCTTCAAAGTAATCCACCTTGGTTCTAATTTTCAAGATTTCGATCGAATTCTTGGCAAAAGCATCGTAGTAGAAGTGAAACGCCGCGGCAGAACGCCAATCATACCACCAGACCCCTTCGCAGTCATTCAGCTGATTAGAAATGAAATTCTCAAAAAGCTCCCTGATCACTTCATTTTCTTTCAACCAATCAATGTCCAGCTGAATCCAAGCGAATTCCTCAATCCTCGCGCGGAAATTGTCAAACAATTTCCGCAAACACTCCTTTCCGCGCAATAAGAGCGTCAAACTTCTCACCGAGTTCAATTGATTCAGAAGCGTCGCGTGTTCGTTGTGGAGTTGATCGGAGTCCGGATCATCACTTAATCCAAGTTGTATCCACAATTTGTCACACGAATGGATTCGTTCGCTTAGCGGAAGATGACTCACATCAATTTGGTCAAAGACGAAGAACTTCCGGATCTTCCCGTCCTTCATTTCATTACGATTCATTACAATCTCGTTCACGTGGTGGTTGAAAACGAGAGACGGATTGCGTGAAAGCATCCATTGAAATCCCGCATTCACTTTGACCAACTCAATCGTATCTTTCGCGTCCATTCCCTCCAGCACTTCCAACTTGAGATCGTAACAGAGCTTCTCCATCGGAAACGACGTCAGATTCCTCATTTCGAATGGCATCCAGAGCGGCATTCTTTCACCTGTAAAAGAAAACAATTCATTCTTGTTGGAAAATGAAAGAGAAAGCAGAAAAAGCAATCAATTTTTGGTGACAAAATGGTTTTCTATGGGGTCAAACGTCAAATTTGGCTTTTCACAAGCTTTTTAAGCCAACAACTTTCTTAATTTCATAAAAATCAGAGCAATTAGAAATTTACCTAGGGAGAAGCGGAACCATAAGCAAAAGATGTTGTTGAACTAACTAAGGTGAATGAAGGATAAAATATTGCTTGTGAGGGACCCGGTACTTGTTTTTGGACAGAACGTTCACGCGATGTTGACTTTTCATAACCTTCTCAAGACAACAACTTTCCTAATTTCATAAGAATCAGAGCAATTAGCAATTTGCCTACGGAGATACCATAAGCAAAACTTCCGAAACAAAGCTTAAAATTCCACAAAATCGGTCATCAATGAAAAATAATATGGTCCTTGAACCAAATCACTGCTCGAAAACACCTTAAGTAGTAACTTTATTATTAGAAAATTAACAAGTAAACATTAAAAACGTTACCAAATACCGTAAAACACTCGTAATCACATTAACGCCCAAGGAAAAACGGAACTGGGACGGAATCACCTAGCTATAAGTTCATACAAATCTTCATTCTTTCGGTTTCTCGCTTTGGCTTTTGTACGCGCGTTCCAACAGGCATTCTCGTAGCTGAAAATTTACAATTTCTGCAATTCTTCATTAACCATTGGCGTGGAAAAGTCTTTTCTATTTTAGATGACGTTTCACGGAAAGCAGCCGACTACAACCACAGATAAAACTTTCTTGTTGGCATCCGTTCAATGCTTAAACTTCGATAGGACTCTTTAGAATGACAGTAAAAGTTGGCAAAAGCCGAGTATCAATTTTTTACGCTACTGAAAAAACGGCAAGATTATTGCTAACGCTTGATAAACGAGTAGCTAGTGATAATGATAAAGTAATGATAAGGTAAAAATCAGGTCAAGGTTCGTTAGAATTCAAATTCTTAACGATTACTCGTTTAGCAAACGTAGCTAGAAGCACTGGAATTTTGCTGAAAACCGTTAAAAGCCCCACCATCACATCAACATCCTCGATCAGGGACGTCGATTCGCTCACGTTCTCCCCATCATCGCAACCGATTCGTGGCTCGATTTTGATCCGTTCGCGGCACGCTTTCCACAGCAACTCGTCGAGCATATCATATCTTTCCTAAAGAAAAGAACTAAAGATGTAGATTGAAAAGTTTAAAAGTGCGATAAGACCCACCTTTGCAGCTTGACAAATGGATGGTCGAAGCAATGAGATCTCACAACTTGAACCATCTTTATCTGGTCGCAATTTTTCATCTCAAATTATTCTTTTTTCTTCATTTCTTTTCTCATTTCAATGTTGGCATTGTCAATCACCGGGAAAATAAAAGGAAAAGAAGTCGTATAAGTAACAAAAAAAGCAATAAGCGGACGAGTTTGAATAACGCAAAAATAATTCGCAATAACTCGAAATATCTAAAGAAAAGGTATCAAGTTAAGAGTTTTGGCAATGCGCAAATGTGGAATACAAATACAAAACGCAAATACAAATCCTCCTGCATATTGAACAGGTTGAACGGATCGGAAGATCGCCTTGTAGTGTACTAAACAGAATAGTAGGCGTAGCGAAAGACTTTAATTGCTACCTTTGATATTTATCTGTATCTCGGCCAAATGGTGCATTTTCGGGCGAACAACGGCGTCAGTGTCGACCGGTCGAGTGTCAAGCTGTCCATTCCATTGGACCTCCCTTCAGGCACGGGGATCTAAAGTTAAATAGTTAAAATTAGTTTGGGCGCAATACCTATAGGCAGTTGCGACCGGTGCGGGCAGGCACGTGTGCTGCAAGCTTTCACGAAGCGCGATGCGCGAAAGGAAACAAATCAAAAAAGCCGATACCTATGCAGGTGGTTCAAAGGCCACAAACAATCTTCTTGCAAGCAGAACAAATAATCAATGACAACTGAAATAAATGACAAGAAGTTAAAGGCAAAAACTGGGCCAAATGATAAATAAGGTTCACTTAACATTGCTCGAAATTTTCCCGAAAATGCATGAGCGCCATTTATTTTTTGTTTGACTAGCATCCTTGGGGTGTTTCTTGGCCAAATCAGTCAAAAAAATTCAATCTGGAGGAAGCACTTATGATCGATATTTTCCATTCCTTTTTGCCAATGGTTATAAAAAGCAATAAAAAGTTGGAATAAGTCACAAATAAGTCAATCTACCAAGAAATCGACAACTGCTTCAAACAGTAACTTCATCATCGAACAATATTTAATAAATTTATTCCAAGTAACAATAATAACGAGAAAAGCTAGCAAAACATAACGAAAAGGTATTAAGGTAGTTGGGGGAGCACTTGAAATTTGCTCAATAGTAGTTTTTTTTTTAGGTTAATTGATGGCCTTGATCACGAAAATCATTTTTAAGTCATGTTTTCAATTAGAAACTTATGCGCCTCTGTGGTGCGGAGCCAAAACGCTTTGTTCTGCGACAATTTGAACTCAATTAAATTTGGGTTTACACGCCTGATACTGTTGTAAAGAGTCTATATTTTGATTGATAACGTAGTTTTGCCACTTCTAAGAGCGCAGAATCGAGCTTAACACCGCTTCTGGCAACCATAAGCCTACTTCTAGCAACCAGAAAGCAACGCAGATCTTACCTGACTCCTTCTTAGTTAGGCTTAACCACTTACAAATCAATCTCCGAGTGACCCACTGGTTGAATCGATGAAGAGAAGCGAAAACGACGAGCAAGACGGTGACCGACGGCGGAAGATAGCGACCCGAAATAAATGAACGTGTGATGGCCGCCCTAAAAATGGACATTGTATGCGTTGATGCTGGAAAAAATGCAAAAATTGAGAAGCGAAATCAGAAAGTTAACAAAAACAACCACCAAGAGCAGCTCCGAAAATATTGTGGCAACTTTTGCGCTAAACATTTACTTAAACCTTCTTAAGCCAGTAAGTTTCTTACAGAACTTCAGCAGATACTAATTGGATAGTTACATTAATGGAAAGACTCAAAACATCTTAAATTGATCATTTTAAGAGAATCCCGAAAAACCGTCTATCCAAAATTTCAGAATTAAAGGCGGCGACTTTGATGTTAGTGAAATTTCATATTTCATCGAACCATAAAGTGTTATATCATAGCTATATCATTCAATAGCTCTTTTCACGCTCTTTCAGAATACTGAATTGAGTTTTTGTGGAATTCTATTTTTCCATGAAATTTTTTCCATATTCGGCGCCGAAAAGTCAAAATAATTTTTTTCACGAAAATCTAGCTGATAAAATAGGCTCAAAAAGCAAATTTCTGAATTCTACGCAAAAAGTTGGTCGGGAACTGTTTTTTAATTTTGTGTTTTGGTCAATGGAAACGCGAGCTCTGAAACCTAGTTTTTTTAGAAGTGCGCGGTTATATGGCCCACGCGCACCTTTGATGTTGGTAAAATTTTTCTTCTGTGTCAAATCATCAAGTGTTATATATCATTCGAAAGCATTTTTATGCGTTTAAACATGGCGGAAAGAATTTCCCAAAAACTTTGACTTTTTATTGGTTTTCTCCGATTTTATAATCTGGAATGCACAGACAAATACAGACGCAACCCAGGTGCACAGACAAATACAGACTGCCTTGACAATTACTCGATAAATTACTATGCCAAAGGCATGACAGATGATAAAGTTATAAATGTCAATTGCAGGAGAAAATCATTTAGTTACAGACAATTTTGCTTTCCGATTATTTATTTTTTGATTATTAGCGTATTATTATTTTTCTTATTACATTCGTATTTCCAACACTTTCAAAACAAAAGTTATAATTTGCAGATGGGACGAACATCAGAAGCCAAAAAGTCTAGAAGTGGCAACTTGGAACATGGACGCCAAACCAATCAAAACAACATGCACGGATTACGAAGTGGGAAAGTTCCTGCAAATCCTGTGCAATCAAAAGAAGAAAGCTCATCGCGTTCCGCAGACAATCAACAAAAAGAATTCGACAGGAAAGCACATTTGAAAGGAGCACTGGAGGCAAGGATTCTGAAAGATAATGAAAAGAAAAGAGCAGAGCAAAATCGTCCAAACGCCATCTATGTGGCAAAAGCAAAGCAAAACGATGATGATTCTGTTGCTTCAACCTCACATATTCAAACCAAATCACCGACTCCTCCAACTCCAGAAGCTCTGCTCGGTATGAAAAAAAGTGCCAATCTATCAAATAAAGGACTATTATCTGTAAACCATTTTCTTCAATCAAACCAAGGAGTAACCATTGGCTCACAACGAACTATCGAAAAGGCCAAGAAGACTCTGGATCAGTTTGTCAGATATGAAATAGTTCTCAATGAAGGAGTAAGATTGGAAGCTGTGTTGAAAGCTGTTGAAGAGCGGCGAAGAAGATTGGACCTGCTCGATGAGCAAGGAAAACGGCTGATTTTTTCCCTCGATAAAGGACACGGTCGAGTTATTTCAACTATTTCATTCCTAATCTGCGAAAAACCGTGCTCGTCTCGCAATTGTCTTCCATTACAAGCTTGGGAAGGTTCAGATTCTTACGACTCGCTGAAGGAAAAGGGAATTTGCAAAGACTTTGAGACTTTGGTGCAAGCCGGATGTATGGTTTTTCTCGGTGGAGATCTATCTTTCTTGAACACCAATTTTGGTCTTTCCTGTGCGATGATGTTTGGATGTTTATGGTGCAACAAGAGGTTTGACAAAAAACCATCCGCTGATAAGGATTCAATTGATTTTCAACAATATGCTGATAGGAGTGACCCTTCGGTGGAAGCGATGATTTCAAAAGTAAAAGGTCTGCAGGCAAAAAAAGAAAATCTCTTAAATGTTTCTCGAAGTTTGGTAATTCCCCCAATACTTCATGCAAAAATCAAGATTGGAAACGAACTTTTTGAACAATTGATGAAACTCGAAGGGTCCTCTCAGACTTTCCAAGATGTTTGTCGAAAATGGAAGTTGGATGTGAATCGGAAGAGTGATGGGATTATCTATGCTCGTTTCAACGAAAACGATATAAAGAATCTCTGTCGATCCTCAGTGATTTCTGATTTAGCAGTCGTTTCTTCCTCCCGTTCCTATCAAGTAGTCATTTCTGCATTACGTGAGTTCAACAAATGGTCTCAAATGGTTTCAACCACTAAAAGTGTTCTTTCGGATAAAGAAATAAAGGATTTGGCTTGCAAAGGCAAACATTCAAAAGTCAGAAATTGCTGCCAAACAGCGATTCTTTGCGATGAACTAGAAAAAGTTGGTGGTTTTGGACAAAGTGTACTGGTCCATGCTCTACTCTTACATCTTGGCCCATTTGTCCATGAGCATAAATTCATCGGAAATGCATCCGAAGAGGGCATTGAGGCAGTTCACAGCAGGCTAGAATCTGAATTTGCTCGAAACAAGACAGGACCACAAGAAGAGCGACTAATGAACTCGCTCAAGTGGCTCGGTTATGTTGTTCTCCTCAATGATAATGGAAAGATGACATCTTAATTTCCTCCTTTTTGCTTAATGTTCAATTGCGATTCTTTTTTTTGTCTAATTCATGCTTATAAATAGAATAAATTTTTTCTAGACTATACCAGATCTGCAAGTACCGCAGAACCAGAAAAAAAACTGCATTCCAGATTATAAAATCGGAGAAAACCAATAAAAAGTCAAAGTTTTTGGGAAATTCTTTCCGCCATGTTTAAACGCATAAAAATGCTTTCGAATGATATATAACACTTGATGATTTGACACAGAAGAAAAATTTTACCAACATCAAAGGTGCGCGTGGGCCATATAACCGCGCACTTCTAAAAAAACTAGGTTTCAGAGCTCGCGTTTCCATTGACCAAAACACAAAATTAAAAAACAGTTCCCGACCAACTTTTTGCGTAGAATTCAGAAATTTGCTTTTTGAGCCTATTTTATCAGCTAGATTTTCGTGAAAAAAATTATTTTGACTTTTCGGCGCCGAATATGGAAAAAATTTCATGGAAAAATAGAATTCCACAAAAACTCAATTCAGTATTCTGAAAGAGCGTGAAAAGAGCTATTGAATGACATATAACACTTTATGGTTCGATGAAATATGAAATTTCACTAACATCAAAGTCGCCGCCTTTAATTCTGAAATTTTGGATAGACGTTTTCGGATTATTTTATTTTTTCCGTTCATTTTTGGGCCTAACTTAAAATTTGTAGTGTTCGGATTTTTGATTTAAAGACGATTATTTTTGTTACCTATGTGCGGGGGGTCTTTCAATATCCGGGGTGGTAAAATTTTAAGATCCGGGGTAAACAAGATGCACGAGTAATGCAAGAACATAAACATAAACCAAACATAATAATTAAATAAATTTGTGAAGTACAACAGTGACATTTGTATTTGTAACAGTGACAATGAATACTACTTGTGGAAATCTATCGAATTTAATTCTAGGCCAGGAGGCCAAAAACGAGCAATATCCTTGAGAATTTGCTCAAATGCGTCCGCGCCTTTGGGCAAACTAAGGCGCCAGAGTCCTTCAGCAACCCATGACTCAATCATGTGTTCGTGGGTTCCATGACGAAATCGATTGCTATCTTTGAAAGGTCGCCAGAAGCGTCTATCGAATTTCGAATTTACTTCTAGGCCAGGAGGCCAAATATCAACACATAAAACTACCCCAAAAAATGATTTTGAATAAAAAAAAAGTGACCCGCCAACTAGGATAGTATCAACATTTCTAATAATGACATAAAAAAATTTTGTAGAAGTTACGTATTTTGCTCGAGTATCACCTCGAATCACGTAATCAAGTAATCACCTCGAATAAATTGAATAGCTTTACATTCGAAGGGAATTTGCCACCAAATCACTTAAGCGGCTGAATATCTTTAAAAGGGGTCGTATATAAAGTATATAAAATTTTATCCCACCGGATCTTAAAATTTTACCACCCCGGATATTGAAAGACCCCCCCCCGGATACTCCACAAGTACCCTTTATAAGATATTCAGTGACAAGTACAATATCCACACTGTGCTCTTTACAGGAAAATCGACTCGACCCTCGACAAACAGCTCAATCTCATCGTATGACGAGGATTGCGCTTTTGGAAATCGGTAAAAATCTTTTAATTGAGTAAATTTTTCATTTTCTTTAGATTGAAACGCGAGTTTTGGTTCACGATTCCGAGAAATAAAGCTGATTCGATATACGGCTTTCTCTTGCAGTGGTCTCCCGAGAAATACGGACAGGTTTGTGTTTAAAGGAGGGAATGTTTCATTTAAAAAAGCTATTCAGGATACGACTCAACAACAAACAAGCACGCAGCAAGAAGATAGTCACTGTTGTACTTCACAAATTTATTTAATTATTATGTTTGGTTTATGTTTATATTCTTGCATTACTCGTGCATCTTGTTTACCCCGGATCTTAAGATTTTATCCCACCGGATCTTAAGATTTTACCCACCGGATCTTAAGATTTTATATTGAAAGACCCCCCGGATACTCCACAAATACCCAAGTTTTCAACCGGGAAAACGAGAAAATATATTAAAGTTACTTTCAATCACTCATAAACAATTTGGACCAAACCAATTTCAAAAATTTCGTCAGTTTTTTTAGGCATTCCAGTGGTTATGTCGATACACAGCCAGGTAAAAAAAAATTGCACGTGGGCATGGGCGGAATTGAACCCGAGGGCAAAAAAGAACGTCATTTCACAGATCTAATACAATGGTACACTTTACAGTACAGTTACAGTACCGTTACCTAGTAAGGATCGTATTCTCGCATTAGTTTTAGCCTCATATAACACAATGTCTGACCTTAACCTTAACCTTAACCCAATATCTCTTTAGACACTTCTCTTCATTCCAAAAATCCCCAGGGATTTCCTCCTTTGTCGTCGACGTGGAATGCAATTACTGAATGGACATTTCAATGATTCATTTCAAGATTCTTTTTCTATTTTGACTACTTTTATATAATGAGAAAGCTCTTCTGAATGTCATCTCGAATCATTGTGGGGATTGCTGGCGGATTTGCGGCTGGAAAGGTTTCAATTCTTTGTTAAAACCAACAAAATCTTCAGCGAACTCTCGGCAAAAATATCAACGATCAATTGGGGAATGTCGGGAAATCGTGTGAAATTGTTTCCTTTCACGAATTTGATCGTAAGTTTCGTTTGCGTTTGCTTCGTTTGCGTTTCGTTTCGTTTGCGGTAAGGAAAAAAGCTTTTGAAATTTTGATGTTCCAAAAATATACTTACCGTAAATACTGTAATAGTACCCCGCCCCCATAGTGACGGTGCGGAGTGTTGCGTAGTCTAACTTTGAAGGATCTTTGTTATTATTGGAGCTCAAACTACTTTAAAAATCATAATATTCTATCTCAAAATCGGAATTAGATCTTGAACTAAATTAGAATCCACTACCGGATACTAAATACCAAAACTACAGTATCAGATAGTGTTTTCAGCCAAGAATAATGAATCTTTTCAATTTAGCTTTGAAATATAATATATATACCGTAAATACTGTAATATTCCCCCACCGCCCTCGTACAGTCGCGTAGTCGCAAAAGTTTTTTAGTATTTTTAGTATTTCATTTTTTTCAAAGCGCCCGTACTTTCAAAAAATGCGTCTTTGGTATCAAAAAATAGCTGAAATTCAGGGCTATTTTTTGATACCTAAGCGCACATTGTAGCATAAACCAGTGTCGAGAAAAACTCGTTCAAAGTTAGACTACGCAACACTCCGCACCGTCATCATGGGGCTGGGGTACTATTACAGTATTTACGGTAATAAAAAGAAAACATGAGCTAAGGTGTTCAATTTCCCAATGAATGCAATTTTATTTCAAAGAATTTAGACAAAAATATACAAAATCGCAATAATGATCTGATAATTGTGCACGGTTTGACTCCATTTCTTCAGAGAGATGATAGAAGATGCTTTGATTTCAAGGTTTGTTGAATGAGAGGAGAAAACAGAGGAGAAATCTCCTTAGAGGAGAAAACAGAGGAGAAAACATTTAGCTGTACTATGGTCGATTTAAACTATTTTAGATTTTTCTCGATGTCGAAGCTGATCTCCGACTTGGAAGAATGGGTGGGGACAAAGAAATCTTAGGATTGCTTTAGATTGTTTTTTAACTTCAACCTTTTTAGTTCTTCAAAACAAACACTCGGATCTCACCGGATTCATCGAGACCTATTTGAGGGAAATTCGGCCGTTTCATTCAAAATTCGTCCTCAAACAGAAAGCATTCGCCGATTTTCACCTGACCGCCGATTATTCTCCGGGTAGTTGTCCATAACAAGTTCAATAATTGCTCCCCAAATTTAGCCCATATCAAAGAAATTATCAATTGCATCGAGGAAACGCAAAGAAATGAGGGAAAACTTCGAAGAAATTCTGTGCAATTTTGAATAAATGCTAAATTTTCTCTCTGTTATACAGTGACCGGGAGTGTGAAAAATGCGAACTTTTTTTTTGCGCACCCGGCCCATTAGCGCACCCGGACATTTGCGCACCTTTTTTTCCGCACTTAGCCCATTAGCGCACCTTTTTTCGCGTTTTAAAAAAGCTCTAAAAGCTAATATTAACCAATTTTCTATTCCAAAAGTGGTTTTTCTGGGTAATTTTAGAGCATAGAATCCGAATTTTGACATATTAGAGCTTGTGGAACCAATTTGAAAGATAAAACCGGTAGGTCAAATTACAGCAGCAAGTCAAATTACAGCAAGCACGATTTTTCTCCATGTACAACTCCATCCGTTTGCTTCCACAGGCCCTGATATGGCCCCTAAAACCAGCTGAAAAACCAGCCTAACGGCGGGTTTTTCTGCCTGGATGTTTTGGGACTGACGTGTAGTTTGATCTCTCAAGTTAAAGGGCGCTCGGCGCGACTAACGACACGTCTCGCGCCCTGCAACAATACTGGGATCTATCTCTTAATCCTTTAAAGCAATATCGGGATAAACCCTGATACCCTCCACAGCAATAACGACATCTATACTGGGTGCGCTCGGCGCGACTAACGTCGCAATGTAGCGCCTCCGCCCCCCCTTCCCTTTTTTCTGAGGCCCCTGTAACAATACCTTCGCATTGAGGCAAGCCAAATTTGCATACTTCAACTCCATGCCTGAAAACATTTAAAGCTAAAAAGTTTGGAGCGGGCGGGAATCGGACCCGACACCCCCTTGAGGCAGTCGTTTTGTAGATGCTAACCGCCTTGACCACTGCCTCCCCCTGGCCTCCCTATCGATCAAAAACAGTTTGTCGAAATCGGTTCATGTGGAGATCCAGAGTGTGACGGACGGACACTTCTCTTTTATATATAGTAGATTTGGATTCTATGCCCCAAAATTACCTACCGTAAATACTGTAATAGTACCCCATCCCCATGATGACGTTGCGAAGTGTTTGCATAGTCTAGCTTTGAACGCATTTTTCTCGACACTGGTTTGTGCTACAATGCGCATTGGATACCTGAGCTTAGGTATCAAAAAATAGCTGAAATTGAGGGCTATTTTTTGATACTAAAGACGCATTTTTTGAAAGTAAGGGCGCTTTGAAAAAAATGAAATACTAAAAATACTAAAAAACATTTGCGACTAAGCGCCTGTACGACCCCTCGTGGTGTACTATTACGGGAGTGGGACAAATGCGACCTTTTTTTTGCGCACGGGACATTTGCGCACCTTTTTTTCCGCACTTAGCCCATTAGCGCACCTTTTTTGCGTTTTAAAAAAGCTCTAAAAGCTAATATTAACCAATTTCTATTTCAAAAGTTATTTTTCTAGGTAATTTTAGGGCGTAGAATCGAAATTTTGACATATCAGAGCTTGTGGAAGCGAACGGACGGAGTTATACAAAGAGAAAAATCGACAATTTTCTGTAATTTGATCTAGCCGTTTTGTCTTTCAAATTCAAACACGCTCTGTTATGTCAAAATTTGAATTCGACACCCTCAAATTACCTAAAAAAACAACATTTGAAATAGAAATTGGTTAATATTAGCTTTTAGAGCTTTCAAAACGCGAAAAAAGGTGCGCAAAAAAGGTAGCATTTGTCCCACCGCCACTATTACAGTATTTACGGTGCCCTTTTTGACAGACAGACGCCTCCTTAAAAGGAGAAAGTTTGCATTTTCACTCTTTCATTATTCATTTCATTTCATTCTCCTCATTCTCCCAACTTTACTCCAAGTTGATTAATTTCATTAGCTTTTCTACGTGCGCAATAATTTATCAGCTATACGCGAATTGACGAACTTCCACTCTATTTCTGGTGCTAGATTAAACCGCTTTTCTGAAAATTCCGATAAAATGACTTTCTTTTCTGCGCATCGCTTGACGATGACATCTTATAATCTAATCTAATACCCCCGTTTTATGCATTTTTATTAAATGTTCATTTTCTACACCTTTATTTGCTATTTCCTGTCTTTTGTAACTGAACTTCCACTCGATCTCGTGTTTTCTCGCTATGAGGTTCCCCTTCGTTGACCAAAAGAGAAAAAGAGCCCGGAAAGCCCCTCTTTTCTGCCTTTTGCCCTTTTCCCCCTCTCTTCTTCTTTTACTTCTTCACTCGGCCATCCGAAAGACTCCAAATCACGTGCCCCTCGCGCCCAATTGATTCTCACACAATCGACAAAAAAGTTGAGAGAATTTTTGACGCTTTCGAATTTAGAAGCCGCTTGAAAACATATGAGAATACCCTGATGCAAGACTATTCCATTGCAGAAATCTTTACGTTTCTCTGTGTAGCTTGTTGTCAAGCAACATTTTTTGGTCATTTTTGGGTGCTGACGCAGTTTCGAAACTAAAAGTACTTAATCTTTGCCTAATTTATAATTCTTGCAAACATTTTGGAGCAAAATTTCTTGATACCTAGATTTTTATCAACTAGATCCTCTCCGGCTATCGTTTTTTAAAGTTGTATGTATCCATTTCAGTAATTTGTTCTCTACTTTTAAAATTTACTTATTTTTCAATTTCAGGCAGTAACGTTGTTGCTGTAGAGCCAATCAACCGCAATCTTCTTGTGTCTGTGTGTGTGTCCGTCCGTGAGTCGCCATGTCCGTCGCCATCTCGATCTCCAATCCAATTCTCCTCGAAGCCAAGAGACAATTCTTTGAAGAAGATGGCAAATTGAATGTTCAACTGCTAGACCAGGTAAAGCCTTTAATATGAAACCAAATGGTTAGTGGCTTATGAGGTCTTATTAATGATTGTTGTTAGGTGAAAAAGTTTTCAATATTGAGTAACAACTTTTTATTTTAGGTGGTAACACTGATGAATCAAGCATCCGGCGAAGATCAACGTCAAGCAAATACGATTCTCGTCGAGCTGAAAGAAAACCCGAATTCTTGGACCAAAGTTGACGCCATTCTTGAGTTCTCATCGCTTCCTGAGACGAAATACTTTGCACTGCAAATACTCGAGTCTGTCATACAAACAAAGTAAGTGCTTTTATGATCAAATTTGACAAAATTCGTCTCCAGATGGAAAGCGTTGCCCGTAGTGCAACGCGATGGTATCAAAGGGTTCATCGTGCAATTCATTCTGAAGCTCAGTGAAACAAATGAAACTGCGCAGCGAAATCATTTGCTTCTACACAAGTTAAACCTTGTGTTGGTTCAGGTATTACCGTTTTTCTCGCTTGTTAATAGTTATCAAATTTAGATTGTGAAACAGGATTGGCCGAAGAATTGGCCTTCGTTCATTAGTGATATTGTGGCCGCCAGCAAAACCTCTGATTCGGTGTGTATCAACAACATGAATATTCTTCGACTTCTAAGGTTGAGACATAAATACTAATAATGTTTATTATTATTATTTTAGTGAGGAAGTGTTTGATTTTGGAAGCCAAAACTTGACGCAAGCTAAAGAACAACACCTGAAAACGCAATTTTGTGGCCAATTTCAAGAAGTCTTCCAGCTCTGCATGACAATTCTTGTAGGTTTTAATTTTTGTGCAGTTGTTTGTGCGAGTAATCTGGTAGATTATTTTTTCTTTAGGAAAAATGTCCAGCACCATCAATGGTTGAAGCTACTCTAAAGACACTTCATCGTTTTCTTTCGTGGATCCCAGTTGGATACGTTTTTGAGACAAACATTACACAACTTCTTTCGGAAAATGTAAACTTCATCACAAACCATTAGATAACAAGCCGTTTAATTGACTTTAGTTTCTATCGCTTGAAATGTTCCGAGTGGTCACTTTGCAATGCCTTACCGAGGTCGCGCTCATCAACGTTGCCAATACCAACGACTACAATGACAAATTGAGGCTAATGTTCTGTGCCACGATGAAAGAGGTCCGTCCTTTTTAATTTACGATTTCAACAATGCTTGTTAAGCGTCTGTCTGTTGTCTGTTAGTCCTGGTTGGCATCAGCCATCCGAGGCATAATATATAAATGTGAGTGAGTTTGAGAATAGGAGCAGAATTTAATCGCAAAAGACATTTAGATCAGCCAACTCATCCCACCAGACGCTGATATACCAACTGCTTACAAGAGTGGATCTGACAACGACCAAAAGTTCATCTCTTGCTTGGCACAGTTTCTTGTTGCCTTTCTCAAAGAACATGCTAATCTTGTAGAGGTATGTTGAATTTATGTTTCTCAAGTTTGGCATGTTTAGCCCGTCGAGCGAGAAAATGCCGACCTTACCGAGTATCACAGCTATGCCGTCGAGACTCTACTGAATATCAGCCGTGTAGATGAGGTCGAAGTTTTCAAGGTTTGCAAAAACATTTTTGTTTTGTATCTATCTTTGTTCTAGATTTGCCTTGATTATTGGAACTGGTTAACTTCTGAACTGTATCGACTATCGCCATTCCCACCCCCATCACTCATTTTCAGTCAAATGGGTGGAATGAAAGATCTGCCAAGACGCAAACTTTACAGGTATCTATCTATCAAAAATTTTGAATCCAATTGATTTTAGAATTCACCTCTCTAACTTGCGCAACATTATGATTTCTCGAATGGCAAAACCTGAAGAAGTACTGGTTGTGGAAAATGACCAAGGAGAGGTAAGAAATAGCACTCTGATTTTTAAAAATACGTTTAGGTTGTACGAGAGCTTGTCAAAGATACGGATTCAATTACTTTGTACCGAAACATGCGAGAAACGCTCGTCTACCTCACACATCTTGACAACAAGGATACTGAGTTGAAAATGACTGAGAAGCTTCAAACACAGGTATTTTTGATGGACTAGTTTATAATATTGTATCGATTAGGTATCTGGAAACGAATTCTCGTGGAAGAACTTAAACACTCTGTGCTGGGCCGTTGGATCGATCTCGGGTACAATGACTGAAGAGGATGAAAAACGCTTTTTGGTGCTTGTAATTCGTGATCTACTTGGACTTTGTGAACAAAAGCGGGGAAAAGATAACAAAGTATCGCAATGTGTTATTTTCCATTCATGTTTTATGTCTAGGCCGTTATTGCTTCAAACATTATGTATGTGGTTGGACAATACCCGCGTTTCTTGAGAGCTCACTGGAAATTCTTGAAAACAGTTTGGAAATCTTTGAGTCGAGGCTTGATTTAATTGTCATTTTAGGTCATCAACAAATTGTTTGAGTTTATGCACGAGACCCATGAAGGAGTGCAAGATATGGCCTGTGACACTTTTATCAAAATCGCAATGAAATGCAAAAGACACTTTGTCATTGTAAGAATTTCAATCTAACTAGTTGTCAAATATAAACATCTTTAGCTGCAACTCGGAGAAACTCAACCATTTGTGGACGATATGTTAGAGAATCTGTCAGGAATTATCTGCGATCTGACTCCACCACAAGTAAACAACAATACATTTTCATCAGCTATTATTCTTTTAGGTTCACGTATTTTATGAGGCTATGGGGCACATCATCAACGCTCAAACAGATTCTTCGCTTCAGGTAAATGTTGCTTCTTACTAAATGGAGATTTATGGAGATCTTACTAAATGTTATAGGACCCATTGATTGAAAAGCTCATGCGCCTTCCGAATACTGTGTGGGACGAAATCGTTCAACACGCTGGAAGCAATGTCGACGTCTTGAAAGAACCAGAAGCTCTTCGCAGTGTGCTTAACATTCTGAAGACCAATGTGGCTGCTTGCAAATCAATTGGAATGGCTTTTGTGGCCCAGCTCAGCAAGTTTGTCTTTTCTTACCCATTTGACTACAACGTTTTACAGTAATTGTACAAAAATTATTTTAGGATCTACCAAGATACTCTGTCAATGTACAAGATTCTTTCGGAGAATGTATCAAGGTGAACGGTGTAAATTTACCCTGTTCAATTAAAAAAATAAATTTAGTGCCGTTGCCGATAATGGAGAAGATATCTTGAAGAACCCAGTGATCAAGCTAATGAGAGGTGTTAAACGGGAAATCTTGATTCTGCTTTCAACTTGGGTCGCACAAAGCGATGATCCAAAGGTAAAATTTAATACTGTTACCAGATTCAATATTCGTGGTTTAGGGTGTCCTCGAAGATTTTGTGCCACCACTTTTCGACGCTGTTTTATTCGATTATCAGAAAAATGTGGCTGCTGCACGAGAACCAAAAGTGCTCTCCCTTCTCAGCATCATCGTCTGCCAATTACATGTAAGGGTCGTTTTTCTTTATTGTTCAATAAATTCTTTTAGGAACTCATTTCATCAGAAGTACCCCGAATCTTGACAGCCGTCTTCGAGTGCACCCTCAACATGATCAACAAGGATTTGGAGGCTTTCCCAGAGCACCGTACCAACTTCTTTGCTTTGCTCCTTTCATTGAGGTTGTATTCTTTTTAAAAAATGATTACATTTGCAATTTTAGTCAAGAGTGCTTCCCAGTGTTTTTGGCGATGCCCTCAGAGCAACTTCAATACATCATTGACGCCGTCGTCTGGGCTTTCCAGCACAGTATGCGAAATGTTGCAGAAATCGGTGGGTTTTGGCTCTAAATAAGCGTCGAGTCGAGCGTTGGGTACAATTATTTTATATAGGTCTCGACATCCTGAAGGACATGCTTGCTAAAGTTGCGATCCTTCCCGAGGAACAATCTCAAACTTTCTACAAGGAGTTCTACATGCAAATTCTTCAACACGTTCTCGCTGTAGTTGCTGATAGTAGCCAAGTTCAAGTTGCCGGTTAGTGTTTATTGTTCTCAGCTTCTGACTTATAAATCTAGGATTGACCTACTATGCTGAGGTGCTTTGTGCTCTTTTCCGTGCTGCCGAGTTTTCGATCAAAGTAATTGAGTTTCATTATTTTGAATAACCATTGTTCAGATTTCTCTCAATGACCAAAATCCTCAACAATCAAACATTGACTTCATCTACATGCAAATATCGACCATCTTTATGCAGCACTTCACCAATCTAACTCAGTAACTGCCTTTAGTCTTTGTTTGCAAAAACTTATTTCAAAAGAAATATGTTAGTAACATTCTGTTTAGGGATCAAATTCGTGTCACCATCAAGGGCTTCTTCTCCTTCAACACCGATGTCACTCAAATGCGCAATCATCTACGAGACTTCTTGGTCCAAATCAAGGAGTTCAATGGAGAAGACACATCGGATTTGTTCCTCGAGGAGCGTGAACAAGAAATACAAGCTGCTCAGGTACTCTTTCAATCACCCAAGTTGTATTGATCTACCGTTAGGGAGAAAATCTTCATTGAGCATAACATTTCTTAGCGAAATTTTCTTGATTTAGGCTAAGAAACGCCAAGTCCCTGGGATGATCAATCCGAATGAGCTTAACGACGAAGAGGAGATGAAATGAAATCCGAGAAAGACGTGGCAACAATATGCGTGCGTTTGAGTTGTGTTTTTGATTACTTTCTGTGCGTTTTTAATCACTGAATATTTATTACTAGTCGCCAATTATTGCGACCATTTGTTTCACTTTTTTTGTTAATCGACTCCTTCTCTGTTTCGTTTCTTTTGTTTAGTATTTTTTCCTCACAGCATTTTCGCATCTCTATTCGAGTCGTTCCTTAAATCGTGTATTTCTTTATGCGTGTTCCAAATTACTTCTTGAAGGTTAGCGAAATGGGTGCAATGAGTTTTGAATTTGCGAAGATCTTACGAAAATACAATCCCATTCAGCTAACTTTTTCACTCTTATAGTCCCTCATGAAAACCGGTCGCCTTGAATAGGATCAATGATTTGAAAGGGGGATTTATCGAGATCGTTTGATCTGATCAATTTCATTATTGCTCCTATGATTTCGATCTCTTCTCACAGACATCAATTCATTTAGCTGCAAACTAATTTCGTCCACTTTTCAAATGTAATGTTTTGGTGTTTGTTATATTTGTTCTGCTTTTTGGGCACTCTCATGAATTTTATGATTTCATTCTTGTTTTCCAAATCTGCCTCGATATATTCCACTATTGTTTATCCTTTTTATAACAATCATTTGAATAAATTTCCAAAAGTCCAGATACCCAAACGCGTGGCACAATTTGATGGATGAGTGGTGGGAAATGTGTCATGGGATGGTGTCCATAATCTAATTCGTTGATGTAGTGGTCGTGGAAGAACAAAACGTCATCATCGTTGAAGATTTCGACAAATCCCGCCCACAGTACTCTTCGTGAAATGACATTGGATTTGATTTGAGAAGAGAAAAGAAAAAACGAGGAGAGATGGTCGTCTTCGGGATGAAAAGTCCCGCCCCTTTTCTCTTCTTTTTAACATTCACTCATCTCCATTTCTGACAGCTTTCTTCCCCTCCCTCCTTTTTCACTTTTTATCTATCTCATCTATTCTTGATCATTTTCTTCCCTCCAATTTCATTTGATCGGAGTGATGCGATGCTTTTGTCAGCTTCTACTCAATATTTGCTGCTCTGTTTGACTGTTTGTCTCACTTCTTTCACCGATGCCCTTCCATATTCTGGATTTCAAGTGATCGGTGAGTTGAAAGTGAAGCTAGGGAAAAGGGAAAGTAAGGATGAGAACGATTTCGGTACTGGAAGATTAAGCAACAGAAACAACATCTTCAATGGAAATGGTGTACGACAGTAAAGTAAATAAATGCTTATTGCCGACGTCTAAATTCTGTTCAATTGTACCTTTATTAGCCTCTCCTTTACTAGCTTCAACTCGAAACATTTCTCTTGTCGATGATCAGGAAATAGAGTTAGAGTTGGCGTGTGTGTTTTGCCTTTCTTCTCTCAAGGATAGCCCAGTGAGATGGAGTGAGATTGAGACTTTGACTTTGAAAACTTTGAAAGCTTTCCTTTCTAGATTACGATAGCTATTAGCTGTGCTTTCTATTTGGAACTAAATTAAACGATGAGCAAATTCTAGTTCTTGGCTTTGAAGTGCTAAAATAATATTCTATGAACTTGTACGAATTGCAAGTACAAATGGATTCCTTATTTTCTCATCCTTTCTTTCTCTCTTTCTTCTCCTTATTTTCCAAATTTAGCTTCACTAGCTTATTTGTGATGAAGGGAGCTTCGGAGAGCTCTCTTGGTCATCGCAAAAACAAAAAAAAAACTTTATGATGGTGTGGGAATTTTTGGGGGTGGTGATTGGAAAGTGAAAGAGGAGAAGAAAGAAAAGAAACTACTTGATGTACAACTCTCGTTGACGTGGGTTCTTCTTATCCGTCGCCTCGATCTTTTTTTTCTTTCCCCCTTTTCTCTCACTATATTTTCTTCAAATACTCCCACCCATTCCCCCAAATTTCAATTACTTACGCCAACATCTTTCCTTTTTTTCTTTCTTTAGTAGATGGATTCACCATTCACTCATCAAAAGGATCAAAAAGACATCAAAATTTGGGCTTTCTTTGACTCGCAATCTATTTGGATGTTAATTTTTCAAAGATTTGACGATTTGACGAAAAAGTCTTGACTTGAGTGATTGGATGGGGGTGGGACAAATGCGACCTTTTTTTTGCGCACCTGGACATTTGCACACCTTTTTTTGCTGGAAAAGGCCTTAGGAAACGTCGTAGAGCTTCAAAAATGTTTTCATAGAAGGGAAGCGTATGCGTAGATTCCGAATTTCGACAAATCAGACCTCGCTGACACGTCAAATTTGGGCTAAAAGGCAAAAACTACGCAACTTAACGCTTTTCCGCAGTTTTTGCCTTTTAGCCCAAATTTGACGTGTCAGCGAGGTCCGATTTGTCGAAATTCGGAATCTACGCATACGATTCCCTTATTTGGAAGTATTTTCGAAGCTCTACGGCCTTGCCTAAAGCCTTTTCCAGCAAAAAAAAAGGTGCGCAAATGTCCAGGTGCGCAAAAAAAAGATCGCATTTGTCCCACCCCCAGAAAAGCTCATAATTTTTAAACATTTATGGATCAAGCGGAAAAAAAACGGAAAATAGAATATCTTTTTAGTTTCCAAAGAAACAAATGGGGCAGCTACGTTTTTTTCGCTTTTTCCGTCGCAGTGCGTAGCTGCCCCATTCGTTGGGTTTTGTTTGGAAAATCAAAAGATTAAATTTTCTGTTTTTTTACTTACAAGTCTGGTTTCTTTGATTTCTTTTCTAACATGATTTCTCTTCTAAAACATTTTTATAGACAAAAGTTTTGTAGTCAAGACTTTTATAGACAATCTTAGCTTGACTCTAGCCTTTATCCAAGTGATCTAGTCTTGCATATCGATTGGATAAACCTATACTTTGCTTGTTGATCCTTTGACTTATTGGCTTTCTTTCTGCCTTTGACTGCCTTTAACTTGACTTTCTTTCTGTTTTCTGTTACCGTAGTCCTTTTCTCTTTTGCATCTATAAGACAGCTGATCGAAATAGATTCAATTGAGTCAACTCGTGGAAAAGACAAACGTTGAATGAATTTACCGTAAATACTGTAATAGTACCCCACCGCCATGATGACGGTGCGGAGTGTTGCGTAGTCTAGCTTTGAACGAGTTTTTCTCGACACTGGTTTATGCTACAATGTTCGCTTAAATATCAAAAAATAGCCCTGAATTTCAGCTATTTTTTGATACCAAAGACGCATTTTTTGAAAGTACGGGTGCTTTGAAAAAAAATGAAATACTAAAAATACCAAAAAACTTTTGCGACTACGCGACTGTACGAGGGGGGTGGGGGAATATTACAGTATTTACGGTAATTGAAAATCGTTTCAAAATAGATCACATTGTTACCTAGATAATACGGAAGAGAATAAGCTTTTGAAAGAATTTTTACTCTTTATAAACTTCATCAACTCTTACTACATCAACAATTCAACCCCATTTACCCCTTTTGCTTTAACAATTCTTTCGTTGTGTGAAATCATTTTGAAATTTGAGATACCTCGAAAAAAAGCGTTTGCTAAAAGCCAATGACTTGCTAAAAGCCAATATTAGCCAAATACTTGGCTAAAAGCCAATAACTAGTAAATACGAGCATTACTAGCCAATGACTAGTAATGCAAACTTTTGCAAAAGAATTAAAAAAAAGAATAGAAAAAGTAAAAAACTTTGATTTCGAGTAAAAACTTAATAGTGTAGATAAAGTGAGTTTTTTTTAAATGTTTAAGTAAACTTTTCTATTCTTTTCTATAAATAACCTTTTACGCAATCCCTCAAAATAGTTAAAAATGACTTCAAAATTCGTGTCTCTTCATTTTGGCAACAACAAACTCTCGAAACTCTCGAAATTCTCCAAATTTGTGATCATGTTATTTTGAAATTGAAATGTATTGTTGGGGAATGTCTGAATGAAAGAAAAAAAAGGGAAAAGATATCTTTTCTTTAAAAAAAAAAGCTAAAGCTAAAGATAGAGTGAAGAAAAGGCGCTGAAATGAGTCACGCTATCACATTTTCCGCTTCTCTTCATTCTCATTCTTCAGGGAAAGGCTTTTGCCTAAACGAAATCTGACGAATTTTTGTGGGATTTAGATTTACTGTAGTTTCGCCTTTAATAGTGCTGCTTTGTTTGACTGTTTGTCTCACTTCTTTCACCGATGCCCTTCCATATTCTGGATTTCAAGTGATCGATGAGTTTGAAAGTGAAGCTAGGTGAAAGGGAAAGTAAGGATGAGAACGATTTCGGTACTGCAAGATTAAGCAAGAGAAACAACATCTTCAATGGAAATGATGTACGACAGTAAATGGTGATAAATGCTTATTGCCGACGTCTAAATCCTGTTCAATTGTACCTTTATTAGCCTCTCCTTTACTAGCTTCAACTCGAAACATTTCTCTTGTCGATGATCAGGAAATAGAGTTAGAGTTGGCGTGTGTTTTGCCTTTCTTCTCTCAAGGATAGCCCAGTGAGATTGGATAATGTTGAGACTTTGACTTTGAAAACTTTGAAAGCTTTCCTTTCTAGATTACGGTAGCTATTAGCTGTGCTTTCTATTTGGAACTAAATTAAACGATGAGCAAATCTAGTTCTTGGCTTTGAAGTGCTAAAATAATATTCTATGAACTTGTACGAATTGCAAGTACAAATGGATTCCTTATTTTCTCATCCTTTCTTTCTCTCTTTCTTCTCCTTATTTTCCAAATTTAGCTTCACTAGCTTATTTGTGATGAAGAGAGCTTCGGAGAGCTCTCTTGGTCATCGCAAAAACAAAAAAAACTTTAAACTCTTCCCTTCCCTTCCCTTCCCTTCCCCATTTTCAACAATCCATCTCTTCACATCTCTCCCCATTTTTTTCTTTCAAAGATCTCATTTTCATGAGTACACTTTTTGCAGCTATTTGATATGAAAAGTCAGATGTTTCAAAGACTTTGATGAAGATGGCTGAATATTTGATTCGTTATTCAGCATAGAACAACTATAGGGATGACGTAAGATGTAGAAAAATGTTTTCTAAAGCATTGGGATTTCTAGACCGCGAAATTTGCATAAAAATGTGTATTACAAATACTCTAGTTTCAATTACGTATCCGTTTTTCTTTTCTTTTGTTTTCTCATCCATTATCCATTTAATCCTTTTTGTTTCTGAACAAAAGCCTTTATGAAAATGAATAACGCGATATGATTGTTTCGTTAAATAACAGAGTCAGAGTCAGAAAAAGAACAAAGAAAGAATTCTGAGAATATTGGAGGAACAAAGGGAAGTGAAAATACAAAAAATGAAAATACATCAAACTTGCAAAGTCATTATTTAAATAAAGAAAAGATCTAGTTAAATAGAACATTCAGCTATCGTATCTTAAAGTATCTTATTTTAAGATACGATAGCTGAATAGCTAAGTAGCTTTTAAGATAGCTAAGTAAAGTAAAGAAAAGTAAAGAAAAGTAAAGAAAGTAAGATAGCTTTTAGTAGAGAAAACTCTTTCGAAATCATTATTTCAATTTGCAGGCCGACGTTCGTTGGCTGAGCGATCGTCTGGATTGTCTGGATCCTCTGGCTCCTCTGCATCCTCTGGATCATCTGCATCCTCTGCATCTTCATTCCCTTGGTCTTCATTTCTTCCATCTTTCTCCTCACCGCGCCACACAAGGAATAGTCTCGTCACGTCGCTTAGAGATCAACTCAGAAAGTAAAGAATATTCTATTTTATATAAAAAGGGTTTGGGAAAAAATTCGTGCTTCTAGAAGCAACTTTTAACTATAGAAGTTAAAAGCTGTCAAAAATATGAGATCTCTTTGGGAAAATCGATTTACAGTCGAATTTCAATATAACGAATCGCTCGGGACCAAAAATTATAACAAAAACTATATAACGAACCTAAAAAGTGCTAAATTCTCTGCGTAGCTGCCCTGGATGGTCACTGATTGCATTTGGCAGCTACGCAGAAATTTTTGAGTACTTTTTGGAATTTCAAAGTTTTGAAGTTTAAAGTTTCAAAGTTTATCGAAGTTTTGTTGTATTTGGTTGGTTGGTTTAATGCCAATATTTTAAATGTTTAATGCCCTTGAGGCCATATTTAAAATGTTTAATGCCCTTGAGCCAATATTTTAAATGTTTAATTACCATTGACCGCATATTTTAAATGTTTCGTTACCCTTGACCGCATATTTTAAACGGGAAACAGCTAGGGTATGGACAAGAGTTGCGTAATGAAACCGATGCCTTCTAGATGCCTTCTAGATGCCTTCTAGATGCCTTCTAGAACGGCTTTCTAGATGCCGCTCTACAAGCAATTTGAAAAGTACGCATTCACCAAAAAAAAAACGAATGTACTTGATAAGTACCGAAATCTCGTTAAACTCTTTCAAATCTCTCTTCTTTCTATTTTGATTGTGTCTTTCTGTTACGTATTTCCTGTAATGCATTCTCGAAAAGGATCCTATCATTTTTCATCCAATAGATCGCTTTCCTCTTTTTGTTTTCTTTTTGTTTTCTTTTTTTTGTCTTTCTTTTGCCTACCTAGTACTTTTGAGAGTTCACAGTAGTCAAAAAAAAGGGAAACAATTAGAATTACCCTAATTTTTAAAAGGAACTCTTTTCAAAAGTCATAATTGAAGTCTTTCAACGATTCGAGTCAAGTTTTGGCAGTGAGTTTGAGGAAAAACTTTTGAAAAATGAATTTAAATTCAAATTCAAATGGGAACTCTTATTTTGTTGAATGTGTACTTTAAAGGATTTTTCTTTCTAGGATTTCTAGTTTTCTTGAACTTTATGAAGATCATCCGATTTTTCCTGACTTCAAAGAGATCCATTATCTACTAAATATAAAGCAGAAAAGACGTCGATCCGTTTGTCCGTCTGTGTACAGCCATTGGAAAAAAGGGGCGAGTGTTAGATTGTGTGGAAAACGTGGACCTTCCCAAGAAAGTAAACGGTTTTCCCTTGGTTTCTTTATAATACAAAAAATACCTATAAATACTAGAATATCCAATGATTTCTATTTGATACTAACTTTTCTAGAGGCAGTAATCTACTTCCAGTAGTCTACTTCCAGTAGTCTACTTCTAGTAGTCTACTTCTAGTAATCTACTTCTAGTAATCTACTTCTAGTAGTCTACTTCTAGTATTCTAGTTCCAGTAATCTACTTCTAGTAATCTACTTCTACTAATCTACTTCCAGTAATCTACTTCCAGTAATCTACTTCTAGTATTCTAGTTCCAGTAATCTACTTCTAGTAGTCTACTGTGCCTTTAAGTGTCCTAAACTCTGAGTGCTTATAACTTTTGACAGAATACTCCATAGCAAAAACGGAGAGCAGATTCGAAATCAGCGCGAAATTCGTGTCATTTCGCCACGACACCCGGTTGACCTTCCCTTATGAATATGCAAGTAGGCTAAGATCTATTGTACTAACTTAAAAATAGAAGCTTGTCAAAGATCAAAGCTCTCAATTCGAGATAAACAAAAGAAGATCTCCTTTCCTCCTCAAAATCCCCATTAAATATTTATGCTAATTAGTTTCCGAAAAATTCGCAAAACAAACGTTTTTCCCCGGAAAAATAACGAATTTTCATTAGAATTTCGGAATTTTTGATTTCATTAAAAATTTTGAAAGGGAAATTTTTACATTTTTGTCATTTTTGTCATTTTTGGAAGAAAACTCATGATTTTTGAGTTTTGGAAGAAAGCTGAGCTAAAGTTAAAGCTCAACTAAAGTAAATGCTCAGCTAAAGTTAAACCTCAACTAAAGTAAATGCTCAACTAAAGTTAAAACTCAACTAAAGTTTGACGAATTTCTTGAAGGAAGCGAGATTGAAAAAAGATTCGAAAAGTTTTCGTGTACTTTGGAAAGAAAATTTTTTTTTTCTTACTTTTCCTTTATATCAATTGAGCTAAGGGGAATTCACAATGAAAAATTGATGAGAAAGTGTGAAATGCGGGAATTTGAAGAGGAAAATGAATGAGAAATGAAAAATGAAAAGTGAGCGGAAATCGTCTCATTTTATAGTCCACCCGTATAAATGCAAAAATCTGATGTGAAAAGTTTGAGAAGAAACTTTTGATGAAAACTTTAATCATATGGATAGACGGAGTTGAAGTTAGAGTTAAGTTAAGAGGGGATTTTTTGAGCTTTTCTTTGAGCTTTTCTTTGCGCATACTATGGCTTATTGTTAGTGGATGATTTTCTAATTATTTTCTCACCTAAACAAGGACTGTAGCTATGGAAGCTATCGAAATCGAAAGCTATAGAAGCTATCGAAATCGAAAGCTCAACCATTTCTCATTTATCTATTCATTTTTAGCCAAGAAAAGCCTCGTCCCCTTCGCTTTGGATGATCTCTTCACAAAAAGGATGCAAATGATTTCAATTTTTCATAATTATATAATTTTTTTTTTGCATTTTCTGAGCTTTTTTGCATTTTCTCAAAAGAAAACACCTCCAATTTTCCTTTAAAACAAAAATAATTTGAGCTCTTAAATTTTTGAACTATTTACACATTTTTTTATGCGTGAAATAAACGAAAAATTGTTACAAAACTATAAAGAAACAGAGAAAGCAAAAGAAACAAAAACAAAACAAAAACAAAAACAAAAACAAAAAAAAAAAATTTACCATCGCAAGTCTCTAATAAGTTTAAAGTTTTTAAAGCTTTACAAAGCACTCTCGCAATATTCAAAATTTGCGGTTTCTTGACGGCTAAAAGTATTGCCAATCTCAACTACAGCTTTCATTTGAATTGAAATTGAATATTGAATTTAACTTCACTCTAGAGGACGTTCTTACAAGTGTCATTAGTCGAATGTTCTCCAGCACGAACTGTAAACGAAGCTTCCTGTGTCGAAGAACCATCAAGGGTCGTCGTGAAAATCTAGAAAAAGCTGGTCGTCGTGAAAATAATCCAAGTGTTTTAAGTCGCCTCCTTATTGTTCGGACTGATAATTTTCATAAATTTTTAATCAAACAAAAAATTCTAGAAACTACAAGATTTAAACTTCTTATTGCGATAAAAAGATTTACAAAAAAAGCTTTAGCTAACGAGAAATAAAGCTAAGCATAACGCGCAAATGGACTAGACAATTATTGACATTATTTGGCATTATTGTGCTTTTCTATTTTTCACATGTTATTGCTAACTTTTGAAACCCTTTTTGTATTACTTATTTTAGGAGTCCCACAAACGATCGACACTCCGATAAAGGCACACAACGTTCGAGCTCGAAAAATGGGAATCAACATTGAAACCGTGAAGAATCTATTTAACGTCTCCATCTCGAACAATCTACAGACTTTGCATGCCAAAAGGAGATCGGGAATGTTCATCGAAAAGCGAAAAGTGGCCGATCGCTGAAAACAACATACGAGTGGGTTGATGTTGGGCCGTAGAGTAAGGCTCCGGAATCATCACTTTATTCGTCTTGCGGGATGGTTCCGGTTAAACGATGTCTATTTCCACAAACACCGCTCTACTCGCCGGATTGCAATCCAAACGAGCACTTGTTGCCCCGTGCGAAACATGAATTACGGGAATATCGTTTTGCAACAAAAAGCGAGCTCTGGAGTAAGGGTCAAGAAATCTGGGATGCCATTTCTACAAGAAAACTTCAGAAACTTGTTGAAAGCATGCTAAATAGGACGAAAGAAATTATTAAAGCTGCAGGAGGACCGACAAAATACTAAAAAAAATTTTATAACCTGTCAATACTTTTTGTCCACCGATTATTTGCACATATTTTGTATGCGGTTAGTTTTCTCGAGTAAATTTTTTGTTAGAAACATTCCACAATTATTAGTAAGCTTATTTCTTGTAATGTCTAAAACTTTTTGACTAATCAAAATCTATGGATGCTAAATAAAGGTGTCGTTGAGGAAATGAATTCTTCTTTTCTAGTAATCATCGTTAAATTTATTCATTTTCTGTAAGAGATTCCTGTGTGCATTTCTCTGATTTCTCTGAATTTATTCAAAATCGAGACTGATTGGGTGAATTCGGGGACAAATAAACGAAAAATGAGGAGAGACCCCCGTTTGGGTGAATGAGAAGAAAAGAGATGAGAAAAATCTTTTTTTGGAAAGAAACGAGCACTGTCTGTCTCAAAGGAAGTCATCACTTTTTGGAAAACGCAATTCCGGTCAACACACAAAGAAGTGTTTTCTTAAGAGAGTGAGAAAAGGACCCGCAATAGATTGATTCGTCTCGGCTAGATTGATTTCAAAACACTCTCTTCATTCGAATACTTGTCTGATGAGTCGTTTACTTTTTATTATTCTAATAGGTGAGGCGAAATCTGTTAGCGCTGCAACATGCACTTATAGCATTAGATTTCAAGCTACTAATCTGGTACAAGAGATACTAGCTTTAGATTTGTAAGGATACTCAAGCACTGGGATAGAACTAGGATAAAAACTAGAGCCTTTGATTGATGTCCAGTGCTCGGGTCTCCTTATCTAGTACCTGTTACAAATCTAAAGCTAATATCTCTGGTACCAGATTAGTAGCTTGAAATCTAATAGATCTACTGAAAATTCTGTAACTGAAATTAACCAATACCATCATCTCCTTAATGTTTTCCAGTGAAAACCCTCGGAGAACCACCGGATTTTTGTCCCCCATCCGTATCGCTTGGAAAACCCTTTGAAGAACCATGCCCAATGGCCAACGATCCAAATAAATTTCCAAAAACGAAATTGGAACAATGGTTTACGAAAGCAATCTTCAATGTATGGACTTTCCTTTTCTCAATTTAAGACTTTTTTAGAGAAATGCACTAAACTAAACCACACTAAAACACACTAAACTATCGTATTCCTATGCAAATCTATGCCAAACTTTATGCCCAATAAAACCAAAAAAAAAGTTAATTCCAACCTCTTATTGTTGTTGGTCGTTGATTTCATTGTTGTTTCAATAAATTTTCGTTTCGACATTGGAAAGTCCTCCATCGCTCTCTAAAAATCCTTCTAACAAAGCGATCTATTCAAAAAAATGTCTAAAATAAACTTACCGTAAATACTGTAATAGTACCCCACCCCCATAATGACAGTGCGGAGTGTTGCGTAGTCTAGCTTTGAACGAGTTTTTCTCGACACTGGTTTATGCTACAATGCGCGCTTTGGTATCAAAAAATAGCTGAAATTGAGGGCTATTTTTTGATACCAAAGACGCATTTTTTGAAAGTACGGGCGCTTTGAAAAAAATGAAATACTTAAAAACTTTTGCGACTACGCGACTGTACAAGGGGGGTGGGGGAATATTACAGTATTTACGGTAACTTTGATTCCAGATGTCGAGTTGATGAAAAAAAAACGGGGGTGGGACAAATGCGACCTTTTTTTTGCGCACCTGGACATTTGCGCACCTTTTTTTTGCTGGAAAAGGCCTTAGGAATGGCTGTAGAGCTTCGAAAATATTTCGAAAATTTTTCCATATAAGGGAATCGTATGCGTAGATTCCGAATTTCGACAAATCGGACCTCGCTGACACGTCAAATTTGGGCTAAAAGGCAAAAACTGCGGAAAAGCGTTAAGTTGCGTAGTTTTTGCCTTTTAACCCAAATTTAACGTGTCAGCGAGGTCTGATTTGTCGAAATTCGGAATCTACGCATACGATTCCCTTATATGGAAAAATTTTCGAAATATTTTCGAAGCTCTACAGCCATTCCTAAGGCCTTTTCCAGCAAAAAAAAGGTGCGCAAATGTCCAGGTGCGCAAAAAAAAGGTCGCATTTGTCCCACCCCCAAAAAAACCTAAAAATAATAATGAAAAATAGTAAAAAAAAAAGAAATCGGCTAATTGCCAAAAAAAAGAAAAATCGGAGGGTTACGGTAGTTTAGTGCATTTTAGTGTGGTGTGCAAAAATTTTTCTTTAGCTTTTAAGCCTTTAAGTCCTTTTCTCATTTTTTTCAGGATCTTTTCCCGTATGCAAATATTGGATTGGGTCCTCATTTGTGTCTTCCGTACTCTTACGAGTCTTTCATCATTGCTGCTAGATATTTTCCAGAATTCGGATCCGAGCTCCCGAATAAGGTGAGTTTTGATGGGGGAAAAGAAGCTTTTTTTTTATTATAATACCTCGATTTCAGTCATTCAGGGTGTTTAGATTTCAGCTATTTGAGTTTAGAGATATTTAAACGAAAAAAATGGGTACTATATTGTCGCAGAGTTTTCATAAAAGTTTCTTAAACCTTAGAAAAAAACCTTTGAACACCTTCGAACACCTTCGAACACCTTTCCCATTTTCCTTTCCAGATTTACACAGCTAAAGAGCATTCTCGGCGTGACGTCGCCGCTTTTTTCGCCCATGTCCTCCAGGAAACCGGGAAAATCGATCTCAGTCTTTATAAGTTCGAATGGAAGCAATCTTTTTTTTTTCATTGAATTCATTCCAGTAACACCGATTTGAGCACAGAAGATGCGTCAGAATGCTTTTATCGAGGCGGTTTCTTCAACTGGTTTGAGGGAGGACCGAACTCATCATTTTTACATCCAACTGTGATTTTCACACTTATTAAAGTCAACTTAAAGTCAACTAACTTAAAGTCAACTTAAAGTCAACTTAAAGCCAACTTAAAGTTAACTTAAAGTCAAGTCAACAAAATGTTTCAAAGTCGATCGATCGATCGATCGAGGAAAATCGAGCCCATACTTTCGTTTTCGAAAGCTCTAAATAAGACTTTTATGGATTAGATATGTCAAAATGGAGAAAAATCAGCTTTTTTTACTTCAGTTTCCCGGCTTTTCGCTCACTGATGGAAAAAGATGCATTCCGAATGGACGATACTGTAAAAAGATGAGTATTTGCTATGCTTTTATTGACTGATAAAAGTAATCTTTAGAAATGTAGTTTTTTTAGGGTGAACCGGTCACCGATTTTTGGTTCCCATGCAATGACGAGGAGGAGACGCACGCAAATGAGACATTTCATCGGGGATGCTATTTTGGACGGGGACCATTACAGGTAAATGATTACTCGAGTCAAATTTGCATGCGTAATTTTTTAACGCGATTAATCGACGTTTTTGGTCGAGTAACTACGGGTAATCCTCTTTACACGTCGAGTAAATTGAATATCTTTCAATTTGAAGGGGATTTCCGAATAAATCAGTGAAGAGGCTGAATATCTTTAAATTTGAAGGGAATTTGTCACCAAAATCCGTTCAACGGCTGAATATCTTCAAAAAGAGTCGTATATAAGTCAGCGCTCGTGATTCGCGCCGTTTTTTTCGCAATAATTTTGGGGTAGGCTAATTTCCACAATTTTTTGAGCAACAGGGTCGTTTGTGCAACTCGTCGCCATAACTTTCTTCTAAGTGGGTCAATCTTTATGATTTTGGTGTCATTTTGTAGATCTCAATAAGTGCAACGAAAATTTGTGCGCCACCGGGACTCGAGCCCACCATCTTTCGCTTACCGAGCAACTGTCCTAACCATTACGCCAGGATGCACTTGATCTCCGTTGTCCCAGAGGGAGTTAAGTATTCGGGGGTGGCTACTTTGCGCAACTCGCCATAACTTTCTTCTACGTCGGTCAATCTTTATGATTTTAGTGTCATTTTGTTGCACTTGTTGAGATCTGCAAAATGACACCAAAATCATAAAGATTGGCCCACTTAGAAGAAAGTTATGGCGAGTTGCGCAAATGATCCTGTTAATGATCCAAAAAAATGCGGAAATTAGCCTACCCCATAATTTTCGCTAAAGATACGGTAATTTTTCGCAAAGGTGCATTTTAAAAAGCGCATTACTCGCACTCTAATTACAAGTGGATGAGTTGAAAGGAACAATGAAAATTTTTGTCTGACAAAATATTGTCTGAACTTGTTTTTTGAAACTTTACCGGGTACCAAGCTCTAACTCCAGTACGCCGGCAGAATTGGAAAGGTGAAAGTCAATTTTTCAGCTCTCTTGGAACTACAATTATGGTCAATTTCAACAATTTCTTCTCTCAAAAAAAGTACGCGTCGATCTGTTGACAAATCCGAATTTGATCATAACAAAATTGGATCCACCATTGGCAATGATTGCAAGGTATCAATGAATTTGATAGTTTAACTATAACATTTTCAAAAAAGAAACACTCAAAACCTTCATCAAAAAGCTTTAGCCTTTGGTTCTACATGACACCGCAACCACCAAAACCGGCCATGCACGATATTGTGATGGGTGAGTGGGGGAAATGATGGACTAGACTGGAACAGTCCTGATGGACTAGACTGGAACAGTCCTGTACTAGTGGGGAAATGATGGACTAGACTAGAACAGTCCTGTACTAGACTGGAACAGTCCTGGTGGACTAGACTGGAACAGCCCTGTAAAATCAACGTCCATCAGGCTTGCAGGCGGAAAAAAAGCAGAAAATTGAATACCTTTTAATTTTCAAAGAAAAGTCAACAAATGGGGCAGCTACGTTTTTCCGTCGCAGTGCGTAGCTGCCCCATTCGTTATGTTTTGCATTAAAAATGGGGTAGGCTACTTTCCGCCATTTTATTTGCGCAACAGGGTCATTTGCGCAAGTACGTTTGCGCAACAAGGGTCATTTGCGCAACTTTTTTTTGCACAAAAAGGGTCATTTGCGCAACTTTAACACTGTATTAAGCACTCGAATTTTTAATCATTATTTTCATTTTTGAGCTTTTTTTTTATTGTTTTTTTATTTTCTTCTATTTTTATGAAATCTTCCAATTTTTTGCATAATCTTCCAATATTTATCTAAATTAGTCCTTTCTAAGAGCTAATAACCATTAGTAAAATATTTTATCGCTTTAACAAAAAAGTGCAACCGATAACAATGAAAGTTAGGACAACAATAGCAATGAAATTTAGGACAACAATAAAAATCAAATTTTTTTAATATAAGTCAAAAGATGAGAAAGATGTTGCACAAAATCGCAACCGGGCAAGCGACCATTAGAAATAGCAGTAAAACGTTGCTTTTGTCGAGCCAATACAGTTTTCTTCCGTGTGTAGTTTTGTCCAACAGTGAGATTGATAGCCGATGAAAGCTTGAAACGGTTGATTATTTGCGTCATTTCTTCGTAAAGTCTGACCGCAGTATACGATGGATGCGGATTCTTGGGAAAATGCGGAAAATTAGTTAACAATGGTTTTTAAGAATAAACAAAACCGTACTAGAATTTTAAACAACAAAAAAAAACGTCAAAAACTCCCTTAAAAAAAACGTCCCTTAAAAACGTCAAAAAAGTTGCGCAAATGACCCTGTTGCGCAAAAAAAAAGTTGCGCAAACGTACTTGCGCAAATGACCCTGTTGCGCAAATAAAATGGCGGAAAGTAGCCTACCCCTTAAAAATCAAAAGATATAAAATTTTCCGTTTTTTTTTGGCTTACAAGTCTGATGTCCATAAATAATTTGAGGTACTTGGCGTGCTTCTGCGAAAAATCGTCGAGCCGGTTATTCGGGTCCATCATTCGGTCCGACTTCGCTCATCATCAATAATGAATGTGGAGGAGAAGATCAACAAGAGCCGGGAGGTTTGAGAAAAGAAATTTGGAAGCAAATGAAATTTTTGGAAATGAAAAGAAGCAAAACACGAGAGTTTTCTTTTCTTTTTACAGGTCCAGGAGAGTCTCGTCGAATCAAGGCATTTAAATGGTTTTGTAAATATTTCAATGTATCTGCTGGTGCAGAGCGATCGCTGAGTTGTAAAGGTTAAGCCAAATGGGCAAATTTTTGATGAGGAAAATTCGAAATTACAGGAATGTTGGAGGGTTTCGAACAAAATCAACACATGTATTCATGGCAACCAGATTGGGGAAATATGTGGAGAAGCCAGGTAAAAAGGGGGAAAATGATGAGAAAATGAAAACCTAATCCATAACTGGCTTCCTTTACCCAGGTTTGTGATTGTAAACCGGCTCCATATGGCGGCCCTCTTCCATATTATGATCCAAAGATTTACCCGGAAAGATTCGCTAAAGAGAATGAGCGAAATCGATTGAGATGTGTGTATAGGTAAGTTAACCATGCAATACCCAATGTACCTTCAATCATCCAACTTTCAGTATCTACAACAATCCAAAAGTTTTCCGAGTGGACGAAAATAACAGTCCCTGCCTAAAACATAAACCAAAAGTGAAGCTTTATAGAAATGGGTATAAAGAGCTTTAAATTGAGGCTACGAGTTGGGTAATAAACTTTATCAAAACAACAACAACAATAAAATCAACAATCAAAAATTACAACAAAAAAACATTCCTACTCATTCACTTGTGTCGATTTCCTTGATCCTCTCCATTTTTTCGTCATCAATTTCTCAATTTCATCAGCAATTCGTTTGTCTTTGTCATTCGTCAATTCGCGAAGTCGCTCAACGGCCTAAATACAAAAAACACATGCTATTTATTCGCAAACATTGTACCTCTTTCGCAGCTATACGAATTGC